AGAACAGATCTATCAGAATACGACTTCGAAATTGTATACAAACAAGGTAAAATAAATACCAATGCAGACGCATTATCACGCATCAAGATAGATAGCGACGTACTTAAATCAATGATCCCAATTAGTAAAAATGAGAAAGGAGATAAAAAATGTATTAACGTTTTAATAAGGAGAAAGGCCGCAAAATTAAAAGAAATTAAGGAGAAAGAAGTAGAACAAGAAGATAAGAAAGCCAGTACACGCATTAGTAAAGAAAACATGTCTCATGAGAAGCGTCGCGAACTTCACATTTGGGACTGTACATCTTTTAGTGATGTAAAGAAAATGAAGAAAATCAAGTTTAATATAGAAAAAGAACGTTGTGCTACAATTGAAATAATTAATAATGAAGTGCACATAACTTGTAGCGATGACCATTTGAATCTATGTTGGAGAAACTACATAGTTTACTAAGAAATTCACATACAGAGGAACTAGCCCTTTGTGTAAAATATTTTATATTTAAAAATATTGATATGAAGGCATTCAAGAAGAAATATAATGAATAAGAAATGAATAAATGCGCGTCAATAAAAATACTTATATACAAAGCTCCAAGGGAAATAGAAAGCATGATACTTAAATACAAACTGAAAGACGAATTTCACCGCGAAAACATTGCAGCTCACTTAGGAATTCGAAAAACTGTTCTAAAAGTCAAACAAAATATAATAATAATACAATATTTGGAAAAATATGAGACAGATGGTCAAAGAATTTTTAAACTGCAGAAAATGCACACAAGACAAAATAGTAAGACATACAAAATAACTACTTGCAATGACAGACACGCCAACGTCAACATTCGAAACTATAACGATTGAAACTGTAGGCCCACTACGCATATAAAACGGCTACAGATACATATTAACAATGCAATGTGATTTATCCAAATTTGTGAAAGCACACCCAATTGTAAGTAAAGACGCGAAAACAATAGCAACCACTTTAGTTGAACTAATTCTCAAGTATGGTTTCATTAGAGCATTAAAATATGTCAGAGGGACAGAATTTGTTAATGAGCTAATGACAAATGTATGCAATCTACTTAACACTAAACACATATTTTCCACGCCATATCACCATCAGACAATGGGTTCACTTGAGAAAATCCACAGAACACTTAACGAATATTTAATTTCATTTGCCGAAGATTATGAATGCGACTAGTGGATACCGTATTAAACTTTCGCATATAATACGACCCCCCACGTAGACACTTTGTATTCGCCGTATGAATTAGTATTTGGTAAATTACCCACGCTGCCAAGCGATAACATAAGCAAGCAAAATGAAATTTATGACATTGACAATTATGCCAATGGGTTGAAACTGAGACTCCAAACCTCAATAAAGAATACCAGAAACATAATAAAAATTGTAAAAAATAAACGAAAGTCAAAGTATTACAACAATTTTAACATATCCAAGTTCGAAATAGCAGACTAGAAAATAAAAAGAAAAACCAAAACCCGTATCATGGCCCTTATAAAATTGTAAATATAAGCGGAGTAAATTCCACACTTAACATTAATGGTAGAGATAATGACTTACACAATAACCTTTTAAAAAGATGCTTAGAAATAAACTTAGAAACAAAAAAAGATAGAAAATATTTATACTCATTACAATATGAATCTAGTAATAGCAAAATATGAACACATAAACACACGTAAAGTATCTGCATAACTCCACTCAAAAAAATTTATTTCATCACTCAGACGAAATAAATTTTTGTTTTTAACGTTAAGGGTGTAGTGATCACACATACCAAATGCAATAGAAACGGCAACCCTTACAAATGTACAACCAAAGCAATATGAGCACAGTGACCTAGATATGCTTTTGAGGGCAATGCTGACCAGGCGAATGTTATTAACATTTAGCGCTGCCGCTTGCAAGCAGAGTACTTCAATTATGCTCGCTGCTTCCGCTAACCGCTGTACATTTTGATTGGTTGCAAATTTTGTATAAATAGCTTTAAGTTTATTCAATAAAATTAGATTAGAAATGTCTAGACAAACAACTTGTGTTTCTACTCTCAAATATTGCGGTAACTCTTTAGTTCCTATTGAAAGGCAGAACCTTCTCTGCATTTATAAAGAAGTTGATTTGAGATGACAAGCCTTTTTGCCACCTGATAGATACTAAGCGAAGAGCAACTATATGCCTTGACTTCAATATGAACAGTAAACTTTATTTCTAAAAACAGTAATTCATTTGTCTCTTAAACCTACTTACATTTGTCATACATATATACATATTTGCCAACGTTTCTTATTTTGCCGCAGATCGGTTCACTTTGTAAGTATATAAATCCATATGTACATTTTAACATCTCTTATATTTACTAGCAAATACATACATATTGCTACATACGCACATAGAACATAAGAAGATATATGTACATATGCACATACATACTAGAACATAGCAATGAGGGACCAGCAGCAACGAATGAGCTGATAAGAAAGATAACAAAGCGCTGACCTAGCGGATATCCTTAACCCTTGGGTGAACATCATGGCATACGGTTTAGTGAATCTTAACAGAAGGTCTATTAATAATAATAATACAAATAAGACCGGATAGGACCGGATAGGATGTGACTGTGGGTTTTCTGTATATTTCGAATTCTATATGGCTCGTGGTATTGTTTATTTTAATTGTCAAATCCAGATAGTTAATTTTTCTTCCTCTTCCGTTTCCATAGTGAATTTTATTGGTGTTGCTTGTTGAGATAGTCGAGTATCTGCTTCCTTTGTTTCCCTTTATTAAACATATTGCATCATCGACATATATCGAGTAGAATTTTACTCCTAGGTTGGTTGATAGGTCTTCCATATATTTGTCCTCTAGTGTTTCCATGAATACCTCCATGAGTATTGCTGAAGTCGGATTGCCCATTCCTAGCCCGTTCGTCAGTTTAATAATAATAACAGATTGGCGCTTACACATATGTTAGTGTTTGGCCGAGCTTCTCCTCCGATTTGTGGTGTGCGCCTTGATGTTGTCACACAAAGCGGAGGGACCTACAGTTTTACGCCGACTCCGAACGGCGATTGTATTTTTATGAGAAGCTGTTTTTCATGGCAGAAATACACTCGGAGGTTTGCTATTGGTAGTGTTGTCAATGTTGTTGTGGCTAATTAACATTTAATTTTAATATTTTTATTGAGCTTTGTATCACGATTATTTTATTAGGAAAGATGGAAAAAGCTACAAAGTCTAAGCGGTAGAAGTTATAGCAGCTATTTCGGAAATCACATCTCTTCATTAGACTTCTTTTTCTAGACTTCAGCAGGGATCGAACCCGCGTCATCGATGTGCAGCCAGAAGCGTTAACCACTTAGCTATGCACACCCCGTAAACTCGAGTTCCTAATTCATTTGCCTTATTCAACCTACTGCTATCAAGTGCAGTTGATTTGGCGCTATTTAAACTTGACAGCGTGGCTGTTGTTGTCAATTATATACATGCAATTGGTTTTTGTATAGTTTCAGGCTGGCTCTTCCTAAACTATGTACTTGCCAATGTTATTGTGGCTTATTAACATTTAATTTTAATACGTTTTGAGCTTTGTACCACGAATATTTTATTAGGAAAGATGGAAAAAGCAACAAAGTCTAAGCGGTAGAAGCTATATCAGCTATTTCGGAGATCACCACATCTCCTCATCAGACCTCTTTTTTCTAGACTTCAGCAGGGATCGAACCCGCGTTATCGACGTGCAAAGTCAGAAGAGTTAACCGCTGAGCTTTGCACACCCTGTAAACTCGTGTTGCTCGTGTTAAGTTTAAATAGCGGCAAATCAGCTGCTCTTGATAGCAGTAGGTTGAATAAGGAAAATGAATGTGTCGAATGATACGAATTTAGTGTTTTTGTTGATCTTCAACGATTTCATCTTTTTGATTAGTTCTTCTGTATTCGTAGTAGTGTATTTATTGCGTAAATCCAGGTTATGCTTCAACAGGTATTTAGGTACTTGGAGAGTCTGTATCCAGGAGCAACTTGTGGTTAATGATAAGTTTCATCAGAGTGCCTAGTTTGTGTATCTTCGGCAAGGAAATCAACGGAGGGGCACTCGGGTTCATAAGTGTTAGTCTATATGCCAGATTATCCTTTATTATGGTTGTGCTTCTCTTTATGGTCAGGCCTCTCGCAGATTACGAGTGAACTCCTGTCGTGAAAAAAACTTCAGAACACGTGCTGTCAGCAATTCCGACGCATTCGTATTTAGTGCTACCTTTGGTTTTTGTTTGTTTTTATGTTTTGGTTTATTAATTCTAAATCAAAATAAAATAACTCGAAGTCAGTGATAACATTCTCACGAATTTCGAATTTGCGGGAGAATTTCGCGATCGAGACTGAATTCATGACAGGCCTGAGTAATTTTTATTATTACTTGGTATTCTTCAGTGGGATCTTTTCCTAACTTATTGCACACTGTTTCAGTTATTAGGTGTAAACCTTTTTATCAATTAATTGATAATTGCCTTTGTCCGCTTTTGTGGGTATAACCAGGGCCGAAAAGTTTAAGGTTTCCAAGCTTAATATTAACGATCATGCTTATTTTGCTTATGTCAATGTATAAAGCCGAGTACGGACCTTTTAAGAAAATTTTCAAGAAAAATATTGTCGTTATTTCTTGTGTGTGAATAGAAGTGTTCAAGGAGTTTTGACATCTGATATTTTACAGTGTGCTGTTCCACTTTTTCCTTTGGAAAAAATGGAACGTGTATACATATAGCTCTGTTGAAAACAAGAGTAAATACCTTGTGCTCTTCACAAACAAACTTTAGCAAACCATAGTCGAAAGCGTACCAAAATTTTTTAAAAACTTCGTACTGCTTAAGGAATTTTGGCTCAATAAATTTTTCTTGACCATTTCTTTGGCATTTTTTTATTCGTTGAAATGTTTACAAATCTTAATATATAAAAATCCCGTGTCACTGTGTTCGTTTACGCTAATCTCCGAAACTGCTGAACCGATTTCAATGAAATTTTGTGGGTGTGTATTGTTGGTTCCAACTCAAAAGATCGGATAGATTTGAGTTCGAGAAAAAAGTATTTTTTTCATCGAATTTTTTTCGTGCGTTTACGCTAACTAATAACTGCCCAAATCCGAAGCGGAGTTTCACAATGTTATTCGTGGCTATGCTTCATATGTATGTTTATGTTGGGGACAAATAGGTTGGGTAGCAACAAAATAATGTAGTATGTATTCAAACATATAAACATGCGCACAAAACAGCAACAAGCCATTTACCGTTTGGACACCATCCAATGTTATCCATTGCCCTGGCTGATGTTTGTACCGTAACCAGAGATCGTTTTTTCAAACGCAGTGAATAATAATAGCAATAATTTTTCAATCCTTGAAATAAACTGAATAAAAAACATTTAACTGTAACTAAATTTTGTTGTCTTGGGAGCATATTTATCAATGTGTTAGTGCTTATCTAAGCGCTTAACACCGGCTTTTTCCTGGTTATATATTGTTTGCCTTAAACTTTTCTTCGAGCCCTTTTATGGTTTGGTTTTCGTCCTTCTGCTTTCTAGTTTTCTTGGCCTCTATGTCTTTTTCAATTATGTGCCGACATATGTGTCCTGTTCCTCAGTTGGAAGCCGGGATATAATATCTTCAGTGTACACGATGGTTTGTTCAAATTCCCTCTATCGTTTGTGACTATCAATGTTGTGTTTGAGAGCTTTCTTAAATAGTTCTGCTTCTTGCTCGTTGATGTAAGCCTCCGTCAAGTTTACAAATCTGGAATGGAATTTCTGTTCTGTACTTTTCATGCTTTTGTTGTTGCTTTGCTTCGTCCTCAAGCTATCGAGTTTCTTGTTCAACTTTTCATACTTCTTCTTCATGCATTTTTTGTTATCGGTTTCTATTTTCCCATTACTTCCATCAATGTTTGGATTGGCAGACGCTCCGATAACTGTAGGTAGATGGCCAAAAGCTACGCATTTGTATGTTCCTTTTTGGCGTGCAAGTTTTTTAATTCACGTCGGAGGTATTTGTTCTCAGCTGTCCTGATGATTTTCAGACACGCTACTGTTTTTGATTTCGGTTTCGTTAGTGCGTATTTTGGTATAATATTCATAGCAATATATTGTTTATTAAACCAAATATTGGCGTTTATGTTGTTGATCTTCAGTGAACGTCGTTGGTATTCAGTCAACAGCAAGTTGGTTTTGGAATAATAGGCCTGACCGACATAAATATTTCCTTTTTGGTTATTGTTGTTTCCGATAGTGTGGGCGTATAATGTATTTTGGAACGAATTTCCGTTATCCCTTGTCAAATTTAGTTTGGAGACAGACCGGTTTCGGCGTTGTGCCATCTTCAGTGTAATTTTTCGTTCTGTATAATTTTTGTTGGTTGGTTGGTTGCTCCTTAAGTACCTCTTTTCGTTTTGTTAGGTACGTCTTCTTCGTTTTGCAGTATTTGTGATGTTCAATAGGTAGATTAATCGTTGTGGCTTGTTTCTGCCGGCAGGTAGAAGTTCGTGATTTCTACCTTTTTTGTAATTCTAGTTGTTGTTGTAATTTTTTTTCACGTACAGTAGTTTTATAGGTTCAAACAGTACGTTTATTATTTGTACTTTGAATGTATTATGTTTATATATTTCAATATTTTCTAATATATTCAATCTTTGTCCTTTATGTTGTACATGGAAAAGTTCTGCTGTTTGTCCAAACTTCAGCGGTGCGCATTTATTTTTGATAATGTGATTTGCGAATTTCAATTCTGTTGTTATCTCTGGGTTTCGTGTTTTCTTAAATAATCCCTTATGTGTTCGCGATACCTTGTTCTTATATTTCGTCCTGTTTATCCTATTTAGCTGTATCGCCTTGTTTATCTAAGGAGTCTTCCTCGCTTGGTTTCTCTTTCAATATTCTTCTCACAGGCCTTACGAAGGCTGACACGCTCATCGGCTAGGACAGCCATTCAGCAGGAAAATTCGGACGGGGATCCGAAATACATCCCGCTGGAATCAAGCGGGCTGCAGCAGCGTCGGTTGGTGTGAGTAGGACAGCCAAGGTGCGTTCAGTAACATCCGTGAAGCCTCTTCAATCAGCTTTGGTGAGGTTAACATAGATCCGGTGATATGTGCAAGCAAAGTGGAGATGACTATAGACAGATGGTTTGATGTTAAGGTCAGGATAGGTCGCCATGATATGCTGTTTATCAGACCCGCGCTGTTAGGTCTGGCGAGCTGCAGCAGCTGCCCATAATCTTTGTGGGTACGTCGTCGTTCCTTGCGCAGAATGTCGATTCGTCTATTTGCTCCGCTAAATGCCAAAGATACTGGTGCGCGTTAAAGTCACCAACTACAGGTTTTCGCCTCTGAGTAGCGGACCTTTTTCAGGGTGATATCCAGCCGTGCAGCTGGTAACATGGACCTCGCCTGACCGGATAGCAACACCCTGACATTCTAGAATGGTATCGCTGCGGTCTATATCTGCTTCTTTAAGGCTATACTGCACGGTAGGCCACCACCGATATCTCGCTCGCTATTTCGACGGTGTACGTTGCATCCGGCGCAATTCAACAGAGTTGAATTGATGTGCAACTTCGTCGCTTGGACTGCAGCTATTAATATTCAGTTTCGGCCCTTGAAGACTCTTATCTCCTCGATCTTGCTCTGAAATCCGTTGCAGTTTAATTGTAGCACCTTTGTGTGCCTTGGAAGAGCAATTGCGATGCGGGGTGTTAGGGCGTTGTGTTGCCTGCCGGTCCCCTGCTGTATGTTCTGCAGACGGGGGTGATGCCAGACGTGGTGGTAAGCGGCGTCGCGGGGGAAGTTTGCAACCGGGCAGCACATCAGACGCCCACGTAGTCACTCGTCTAATCACGCGAGATGCGGAGTCCAGAGTGAGCCCTAACCCTCCGATGAGTGACAGTGCCGATGACGTTAGATTCGTGAGAAGGTCCTTAGGGACCTACAAAGAGTTGCTCGATGTTTCGACTGTACATGTTGTCTTTTGATTAAATTAACGTCCTGCATATATATTAGGAATGAAATAATTTGAAGAACAAGTGAAAAAAAAATCAAAACATGAAGACAAGTAACTTGTTATTTCTTCTAAAATTGTACAAGGTCCCTAGTGACCTTGTCACTAATCCCCGTACTATATATGTTGAAATCTCAATAAC